CTTCCCGGGCCGGGGCACGAACCCGTGTCCCCTGCATCGGCAGGCGGACTCTCAACCACTGCTCCACAAGGGAAGCCCAAGAAATGGTTCTTTTTTAAAAAATTTTTAAAAAATATATTCATTTATTTGGCTGTGCTGGGTCTTAGTTGCAGCATGTGGGATCTTTAGTTGCGGCATGAGACTCTTAGTTGTGGCATGAGGGATCTAGTTCCCTGACCAGGGATTGAACCCGGGCCCCCTGCATTGGGAGCGTGAAGCCTTAGCCACTGGACCACCAGGGAAGTCCCAAGAAACGGTTCTTTTGATTGTAAAGGTCAACAGTTTGAGTGCCTACCATGTGCCATGCACTACACTGGCCATTGCTGTTGCAAGGATGAATTTTAGACGGCCCCCTCTCTCAAGAAGCTCACACAACGGTAGCGACAGCAGATTCATGGGTAGTAATTACATACGTGGTGGCATTCTTGGGATATTACTGGAGTGCTGAAGGAGTCACCTAATCCCACTCTCCAGAGTTGGTGCCTGGCTGGGTCCGAAAAGCTGAGTTGATGTTACCTTGGAGAAGGAGGGGAGTGGAACAGCAGCTGTGTAGAAACTCTTAGTGTTTCTGCTGACCGCAGGCAGGAGTGTCGGGGGGACTTAGGCCACCATAAGCCTTCCTTCCATGCCTGAGCTTGGCCTTAAGCCTGAGGCCAGGGGTCTCAAACTCAAGGACCTGTGGGGACTGAGGCAAGTCATATCAGTGAGCTGGGCTCGGGACTGGAGGGACTGGTGGGGAATGCAGTGAACTGCAGACGACCTTCCCCTGCTGAAGCGGGCAGCTGCCGTTCAGCTCCAGCTGGTGGATGCTACAGGGAGGTCTAGGCACAGAATTGCCAGGTCTCCTTTTCTTTTTTTTAAAGTGAAGTCAGATCCCATATTTTTATTATGTCAACTAACTCAAAAAAAAAAAAAAAAAAGTTTAAAGGCCCCTTGTGGGCCCAACACACCCCGTTTATAGGTTGGATTAGCCCCACTAGCAGATTTGGGGTGTGAATGAGGGAGAGCCAGTGAAAGGTTTTAGACATACCAGCTAACCACTGTGGCTGCTATCAAAGGATGAATTACAGGCTCCGGTCTGGAGGCAGAGGTACCAGTTATTGCAGAAGCGTAGGCCTGAATTAGGGTAGTGGTGGCAGGAATGGAGAGAAAGAGCTCAATCTGGGAAGTGCCTGTGAGATAAAGTAGGCATGCCGTGGAGATGGGGTGACGGAGGTGAGGGGCTGGAAGGATCCATGACTGGGGGTGGCATCGCCTACAACCACAGTAGACAGCGCAGGACGGGCTGCTGAGGAGCGGAGGGGGAGGTGTCTGGTTTAGGGCAGGTGAGTGTGGACTGTCTATTGGACATCCAGTGGACATGACCTTTAGGTAATTGGGTATGTGGATGTGCAGCTCAGAGGAGGGGTCTGGGCCCGGGGTTTTACCACATGTTCGTTTATCGTAATCCCTTCTCACAGGATTTTTTTTCTTGGTGAGGGCAGACATTAAATAACTAACTAGTGTAAGATTTCATTTTGGTTGTGGTACGGGTTGTGAGGAATAGGTCTTACAGACCACGGAAGGGAGGGCCTGGCCTGGTGTGGGCCCCAGGGGAAGACACCCTGAGGAAGGGGATATTTGAACTGGGCTTTCAGGGGTAAGAAGGAAATAACTAGATGAAGAGAGCGACAGGGAGGGGATTTCAAGTAAGTTTCAGGTTGACTACTAAGGTCCTGAGGGCAGGAAGGAGTATCATGTTTTTGAGGACCTGCGAGAAAGGTGCAAGAGAGGTGGGCAGGCCTTGGTTATGCGGGGCCCTGTGAGCGGCAGTGAGATTTGGTCTCTTGTAAAGAGACAGCGGTGAACCGTAACTTATGGAGAGGGTCAGTTGTTTTATCAGAAGTGCATTTATGTTGATACCACGAGAGCAGCTGCAGGTGCACAGACAGATTCTCTGTCTGAACAGCAGTCATCGTACAGTGGCAGAGCCGCACTCACCCGCCGTGTGTTGCCGGCCCCGGAAGCCTTCTGGAGCCTCACATCCACTGCAGGGAGTAGATTACATGAGACAGGGTTCTAAGCCAGTGAGTGGTGTGATCACATTTATGTTTTTAATGCCTTTTTTTTTTTTGGCCGAGCCACGGGGCATGTGGGATCTTAGTTCCCCGACCAGGGATTGAACCTGTGCCCCTGCAGTGGAAGCACAGAGTCTTAACCACTGGACTGCCAGGGAAGTCCCAGATTTACGTTTTTAAAGAATAATCACTCCAGGCATAGGAGTTAGAGGACTAGAACTATGTATTTTCCAGGATAAAACTATACTCTTAAAAGTAGAGAGAAATTCTTTTAACAAGAGCTTTCTGTATTTCTTTGTTTTTCATTATAGAAATCAGGACCTTTGATATTTAGGAAAACTATGTTTAACTCTACTGAGATCAAGTTTTCTGGTAAGTATAATAAACTAATATAACAGTAAAATAACAATAAATTATAAATGAGCAAGCTGTAGTATAAACTCATGCATTAATTCAATATAAACTAACATAACACATTGTAATATTATACATTTTAAACTAGGCAAATGTTTTTAAGTGATCCTAACATTTTAAGGGTTTCTTTTGTTCCAGTCGGGTCATAGTTATTTTCAAGAATGAATTTTTCTGATCCTGTCTCAGAAAATGTAATGTGAATCATTCTTTATCATTCTAACAATTATAGTTAAAACCCAATAAAGAAGTCTTCAGCAAAAAAGTATTTGACCTCCGAAATTTGACTCTGAATCCCTTTTAAAATTCAGTAAATTCTTTTTATGGTTATATGAAATGACATGATCGTGATGAAACCTTTGTGTTTCTGAAATTTTTCTAAATATACACACGATCACAGTGTGAAATAAACATTATTAGACACTAACAATTAGGATTTCAGAGCTTATGAAAGTGAAAATATTTGCTAGGGACTGTGTTGTCTGTGTAAATACTGGAGTGTCATGACTACCAAGTCATAGATCTTGAGGGAGTTTACATTGGATCATATTTGCTGTGCACTAACCCCTCTAGGTGTTTCCAGTAACTTGACTAGGTCAGTTGGTTGCCAGAGTTAAAGTTTGGGGTAAGGAGTAGTTTTTTTGTTGGGTAGAGCAAATTGCCTTCGTGGGACCCACAGCCGTGGCCCTTTTATCTCTCACACCATGCTCTGAACATTCGTTGGAGAATTCTGCCGTGTGTGGTCTTTGCTGACGGAAGTAGGCCAGCCGTCAGCTAGAAAGCAAAGGTGGTTCAAAGCAGCTTCGTGATATTAGATCATCAGTGGTGATAAGAGCTTGGTAAGAGGAAATTGAAGCCCAAGGTGGGTGAGGAAAACATTTTGGCCTCTCAGTGCTTTAATAAATTCATGTCTCACTGTCTAGACAAGATTTAAAACACTGGTGCAGACAAAAAAATTACATGGGAGAATAAAAAGTTATATGGACCACTGAAACACAGAATTTGATTTTTTTTAAAATCAATACGTAATGTCCGAGATCAGCCTAAAAGTAGACCACAATTTAGTATTAACACATCTAAAGAAAGAAAAATGAGGCAGCAGAAGGGAGTTAGGAACAAAAGCGTAAAAAAAAAAAATGAGGGTTTAGTCAGGTAAAAGCTGGCAGTGTCCCAGCACTGATGGGAGAGAGGTCTTTCTGTAACTATGACCGTAGCTCTAACATTGTGGCTGGCGGGGGTGGATGAAGTGCCCACCTGAGCCTCCTTGTTCTGCTGCCATATTCACCAAGCAGCCTTCTCATCATCTACGTTATAGTTACTGTTTAAGTGAGTAATTGGGCATTAAGTTTTACACACCTACATCCGTGGTGTGAAAGATGAAACTGAGTCTCTGAGTTCTCACAGAGCCAAATTTTATTTTATTATTATTATTTAAAAGAAAATATTTGTTAGGAATGACTTTTTAAAAATTAATTAATTAATTAATTAATTTATGGCTGCATTGGGTCTTCGTTGCTGCGCACGGGCTTTCTCTAGTTGTGGTGAGCGAGGGCTACTCTTTGTCGCGGTGCGTGGGCTTCTCATTACGGTGGCTTCTCTTGTTGCGGAGCATGGGCTCTAGGCGTGCGGGCTTCAGTAATTGTGGTGCATGGGCTCAGTAGTTGTGGCACACGGGCTCTAGAGCGCAGGCTCTGTAGTTGTGGTGCATGGGCTTAATTGCTCCACGGCATGCGGGGTCTTCCCAGACCAGGGCTCGGAACAGTGTCCTCTGCATTGGCGGGCGGGTTCTTAACCACGGCGCTACCAGGGAAGTCCCAGAACCAAATTTTAGTGCCTACAAAGTTAAGCATTGGTCCCTTGGGTATGTGTCCATGCTGTTTGGTGGATCAGATGCCTTGCCTTCCCTAAGGAAAGCTAAGGTGACCCCTCTTAGCTACTCCATTCAAGATGCAGTCATGTGGAGCCACTGGTGAAAAATCTCTCAGTGTAATTCACCATATTAACAGAATAAAAGAAATACATCATACAATCATCTCAATATATACAAAAAAGCATTTGAAAAAAATCAGCACCTATCCATGATGGAAACTCTCAGAAAACTAGAAATAGAAGGAAATGTCCTCAACCTGATAAAGGGCATCTATGATACGTCTAGAACTGGCAGTTCTCCCCAGATGGACCTATAAATTCAATTAATCCCACTCAAAATCCAAGCAGATTTATATAGAAACTGGCTAGTTGTTTCTGAAACTTACATGCAAATACAGAGGACCTAGAATAGCCAAAGCAATTTTAAAAAAGAACAACGAGGGAGGGCCTTTACTCTCTGATTTCAGAACTGAACACGAAGCTACGGTAATCCTAACACTGTGGAACCGCGACAGACACATAGAGCAGTGCACATCGTTGTCACATTGACTGGTTCATGACACGATTATGAGTCAGCTTTTCCCGCTTTGTGTATCTAGTATTTTTGTTTGGATAGTGGATCTCGTGAATTTTACATTCTTGAGTACTAGACTGTTGTATTCCGTGAACAACTTTGTTCTGGCAGACAGTTAAGTTTCTTTGGGGTCAGTTCGATCCTTTCCAGTCTTGCTTTTAATTTCTTTTAGGAGGGATCAGGGGTTAGCCTTTACTCTAGAACTAACTTAGCACCACTTCTAAGGTGTGACTCTTCTGCGTCTCTCCCAGACACGGGGTGTGTTTACTGTGGCCTTTCCTCTCTGGCTAGTGCAGACTCTAGCTAGTTCCCATCCCCGTGTGAGCTCTGAGAATTTTTCAGCTTGTCCCTATGCATGGGCAGGCTGTTACGCAGCCAGAGACCAAGGATCTGTATGCAGATTTCATTGACCCTTTCTCTGTGTAGTGCCCACCTCTTGGGTACTCTGCCCCAGAAACTCTACCAGCCTCAGCCTTGGTTAACCATAATAATTTAATTTAAGGAATTTATCTGTCTCATTTTGCAGTGACTTTTTGGAGAAATTAGGTAACACTTTACTCATTGTTTCCTTAAAGTTGTCTATTTTATTTATTTTTTTTAAAGGAACATTTATTTATTTATTTTTGGCTGCGTTGGGCCTTCGTTTCTGCACGCCGGCTTTCTGTAGTTGTGGCGAGCAGGGGCTACTCTTTGTTGCGGTGCACTGGCTTCTCATTGCAGTGGCTTCTCTTGTTGTGGAGCACGGGCTCTAGGCGTGTGGGCTTCAGGAGTTGTGGCACATGGGCTCAGTAGTTGTGGTGCACGGGCTTAGTTGCTCCACGGCATGTGGGATCTTCCCGGACCAGGGCTCGAACCCATGTCCCCTGCCTTGGCAGTCAGATTCTTAACCACTGCGCCACAGGGAAGTTCAAAGTAATCTATTTTAAATTGCATTCTTGAAACCTTAAGTTTATGTTAGAGTATGTATATTATTGTTGTAAAATGAGACTTTCTTTCTCTAAACAGTTAAGTCATTCAGTTGCTCTGGGCCTGTGAAGTTTACCATAGTGTGGCTTTTGGAACATCATACCTGTTACAATGAATATCCTAAGCTGGAAGTAAGTAAAACACAAATTTTAAATGTGTCTAAAGCTATGAAGGAAAAGTTAGGAGTTTAAAGATTTATTAGCTTATCAAGTGAGGAGGCCAGGAATAGAGAAGTGCCACAGATTTTGGGACTTCGGCAATAAATGCCTTAATTATATCAAAGTATATGCTTTCTGAGAATACAGATCTTTTAGTTTCCTTGTATCTTATGAAAAATGTTAGTAAATATTTAAATCAGAGTTGTGGAAGCCATTGATAAGGGGACTGTGGGTCACGCACAAATGAAAACCAACTCAATTTAAAGAAGAAATGTAAAAGTTTCACTTCATTCAAAAAATTAGTAATAGGGAACCCAGAACTTCAGTGAGTGTGAGTAGATTTAGTGAGTATAAGTAGACCTCAGAAAGAGGTGAGGAGGGAAAAGTAGGGGGAGAGTGTGAGAGGAGGAAAAAGAGACCAGGTTAGGTCAGTGTGTATTTCCTACGAACAAACATAATCCCTTAGATTACACAGTACAGAGATCGGATTTACGAAATTTAACAGTGATACAATGCTAATTGATATAATAGCTAATAAACCATATTCAAACTTTGCCAGTGTCCCAACAACATCCTTTTTAGCAGCTTTTTTCTTTTCTTTTCTTTTCTTTTTCTGGTACAGGATCCAATCCAGGATCACCTTGTATTTCTGCAGGGTTTTTTTTTGGAGGGCTGGAGGTGTTGAGGGTGGTTCATGACATGACATTGATATATTTGAGGTGTACAAGCCATTTATTTTTACAAAATGTCCCTCAATTTGAATATTTCTCACGTTTCCTCGTGATTAAATTCAGGTTATATTTTTGGCAGGCATACCAGAAAGTATACTGTTTTGTCCCATTTTTGGTGATGTTAACTTTGATCACTTAAGGAAGTCTCTGCCAGGTTTCTCCACTGTAAAGCTACTACTTTTCTCCTTGTTAACAATAATTTGTGAAGAAATACTTTTGTATTTATGTGTAAATATCCTGTTTCTTCATCAGTCCTTGTTTTAACATTCTTTGATTCTTGCCTGAATCAAAGCACAGTTACCACTGTGATGATTGCTAAACAATGATTTTCTAATTCCATGTTTTCTTCTACATTTATTAGCGTTCGACTATGAGGTCGCACTCTTTTCCTCTCTCTTATCCGTCTGTCAGTCAATCAATTATCAATATGGACTCATTGATTTTAACTTTGTTGGGTGGGTTATAATCTATTACTGTTTTTATGTATTTTGCTCAAATTGTCTCATATTTGGCCAGTGGAAGCCTCTTAACCTTTTCTTCATGCCTGGGAGTTGCCATTAGGAGTGCGATTTTATTCATCCATCTAGGAGCCTCATTGTTAGTTGATGTGTAAATGAGTGTTCCCCCTGCACTCAGTTGGGTTTGCCATCTTTGCTTTATGTTACTAAGTGTTTGGTTTATCTTTCCTTGTAATTGAATGCTGCTTTCTTTCTCTGTAATATCTTTTTTTTTTTTTTTTTTTTTTTTTTTTGGGACTGG